AGACTCAGATGCCTACCCTCTCAGGCCCACCCCCTCCCTCCTCAGCAGCAGTAGCTAGAATAACGATTCAGGACTTGGGCAGGCAGGACTGCCCAAGTAGGACTTAGGCAAAGGGAGATTGAGGAAGGTTGTCATCTCCCAGGCTGTCTGGGGCCATCCCCTGACTTAACTGGTGGGCCAGCAACAACAGAGGCAGTGATGCTCAGAGGCCCATGGCAGGGGTCATCGTGCATCAGAATCAAGTAGGGATGCTGTGGAAAGTTGAGATTTTCACTATCAGGTGCCTCCTCCCAGTGGTGGAAGGGCTGGCAGTGGGCTTGGAATAATAAGCACCCTTCATTCCCCCAGCAATTCTGAAACAAAACCACAGCTGGAAAAACGCTGTCCTGGGTTTTCACCAAAGTTTCCCTGGGTTCCAAGTACCCCACCCCTTTAACCAGGGTGATTCCACTTGTGTGTTTTTTCTATCAGGGTTCTGTGTTTAGATTTCTGCTAGAGGAAGTTGGAAATGTGCTGACGTAAGCCCACCCACCTGAGGTTCTGTGAAATGCATAGCCGCAAGTGGCCTGGTTTGAGATGTCCCCTGTCCTCAACGGATGGGCTTAGAGTGCACAGGGTCAGTTGACAGATGCGACAAGCCCTCCCTGGCTTCTCCTGACCCTCTGCTTGGCTTCTTGGCTGCAGAGAGTTCCTCTGACCCAGTAGCTGCTCTTGTGCCAGGGCTGCCCCAGGTGGCGTGGTGGGGGGAGCGGGTACTGAAGGGGTTGGGGGACTGGCATCAGGCAGGATATTGCCTGCTCTGTGAGTGCATGCACTACAGCCCAGCCTGTGAGAAACCAGGAAACAAACTGTGTGGGAGACGGAGGGAGGGAGGGAGGGAGGCTAGGATTACTGTGTGGGTGGGTATGAAAGTGAAAAAGATGGAGAAAAGGAAGGACAGAAAGTGGTTCGGTCTGTATGTGGGTGTGTGACAGTGGGTGTGCAGAGTGGATATGCTTGCAGAAAAAACGTGTGTGCCTGCAAGAGAGATTGCACAGTGTAGGTGTGTGAGCAAAGGAAAATGGAGAGAAGAACATGCTTTTAACCTGTGTCTAAGGGAAGGAATGTGTGTGTTTGTATGTTTTCTGATGGGACTTCTATGTATACAAATTTGATGAATGTGTCCACATGTGAAAGGTAGACCTGCATGAGTGAGGCAGGGGTCTGTGGGAGGGTATATGCTAATGCCTACCCTATGCACAGGTATGTTGGTGTCTGAGAGCACGTACGTGTATGCACATGTGTGCAGATGTGAATGTATACCCATGAGTATTTGCATAAGAACATGGTGTATAGACATCATTTGCTTGTACCTATGTTTGCAGGGAGTGTGAGCATGTATGTGTGGGTACATGTGTGAGGTATATGTGAACTTGTGAGCCCTGCCTCTATACCATCACCCCCTATTATGGTCACCGTGGTGAGGGGAAGGAAGGGGAGTAGGTGGGGCCTTGCCTCCAGCCTCTCTTCCACGGGCCTGAGGAGCAGGGGCCTGTCCCCAGTGACCCCTGTCAGCTCTCATCATGGACACTGACTCCTCTGCCTCAACAGGATGGACATGGCCAGGGGCAGGGCTACCCTGACAACCCAGGTCCATACCCCCATCTCCACCCCAGAGGCTCGGAGCTGTGTCCAGTAGAGTTGGAAAGGCCTCCAAACTCTCCCAATATCCCAGGCCCCCAAAAACAATGGCCTGGAGAGGAGGGAAGGTGGGTCTCCCAAAGCCCTGGGCAGAGGAGGGGTTGGACTGGCAGTGGATCCCTGGTCTCCCTGGGAGGAGAGGATATGGCTTGGCAGAATCCCCCAACATCCCTCAGAGCCCAGCCTTCCCCAGGCCCCATGGGTGAAAAACACAGCCTGCTGCCTTGTCTCCATGGAGACACGGCAGCACAGAGGGAGATTGAAAGCATGGGCCAGACCTCCCAGGGTTCAAATGTCAGCTCCTCCACCCACCAGCCTAAGACTTTGACTTGTCACTTAAACTTGCTATGCCTTAGTTTCCTCATCTGTGAAACAGTTAAGAAAAGCATGCACTTCTTAGGGTTGTTTAGAGGATGAGACAAAATAGCCCGTACAAAGCATTTGGCCCAGGGCCTGGCAGCTGAACTGGGAGGTAGAAACCCTGGGTTCCAGCCCTAGCTTTGCCACCAGCTTACTGTGTGACCTTGGACAAGCTACTTGCCATCTCTGCACTTTAGGATCTCCACGAGATTATCTATAGAATAATTTCAATAAGCCCTGCCAGTTATGATCAGCTGAGACTTTGTGGAAAGGACAGCGGGGGGCTTTCTGGTGAGCTATAGACTGACTAGCGCTGACGAGGAGCCCTAGGTAACTTTCCTTCCCACGTTTCTTCTCTCATGTTGGCAGCAGTTGATGGCCAGAAAGTTGAGCTGTAGTCTGCTGCCCGCTTCCTCTCTTTGCATCCCCTGACCCTCCAGCCTGCTAAGGACCCCATTCTACCTTGCTCAGTTGGTACCCAGGCCTTAGAGAAATGGCACTGGATCCCACCTACCCCAAGTACTGGATGCCTAATGCAGAAGATGCCTTGGCACATACTTAAAACTTTCAGGGAGCACTCAAGAAAGGCAGGTATAATTGTGGAAGGATAGATGTGATTGTCTGAAGATGCTTATAATCCTTTGGTGGTAATGGGAGGAAGCTTTAAAAGGAAGCCCTAATCCACTAATAGCCTGGCAGCTCCACAGGCCTCTTCCCTCCGGATCTCCAGGCAGAGAGAAGGGACTGTGGCCACTCCCTTTCCCAAGGGAGCAGAAAGGCTAGTGTCGGCTCCAACCCAAGACCACCCGGGATTCTGCTCTCTTGCAAGACCCAGCTTCCTTTCTGCCTCTACTTCTGAGAAGTCTTCCCTGCCCACTCCATCCTCCTGAGGTCACTCCTGCCTCTTCTGTCCTTGGAAATGTTCAGGACAGCACTAGATAACCATCTGGCTAGATGTTAAAGAGAGGAGTGAACCAGACTGTGAGCAAGAAGAATAAGACAGTTTCAGCTCCAGTGCCGACTAGGACCTTGGGCTTAAGTCTCTGAGCCTCAATTACCTCACCTGTACAATAGGGATAGTAAAACCTACTTACAAAGGCTAGAGTAAGATCAACAAGAATGAGATACCATGAAAAGGACCAGCTCCATGTGAAAAGCCAACAGGACCCATTAATGGTTGTCTCTCCTAACACGTTCTCTTCCCTCCAAGGTGTCAGCAGACAATTCTCTCCCTAGCACTCTCCCATATAGATCCAGAACACAGTGGTAGCCAAGAACAAAGTCCTCATGCAAAACACTGCAACTGAATTATGGCCTTGGAGCTTGCTAACTGTGAGTCTTGGGCGAGTTACTTATAGTCTTTGGCCCTCAGTCTTCTCATCTGTATAATGGAGATAGTAATGGTATGTCCCTTAGGGAATTGTTATGTGATTAAATGAAGTGATACCTGTGAAGCTCTTAGCACAGTGGAATTGGCACATAGGGCTCAACAGATAATAGCTATTGTGTTGTTGAGCTGATGATTATCATTTTAGTTGCTATCAACATCCCTTACATGCTTATCTGAATTACCCTGCAACCTCGTGATAGTTCTGTGAGGTAGATAGGGCTCATGTTCTTATTTTCATAGATGAAGAAACTAGGAAAGGATTTGAAGGGATCCAGAACTGCCACCCATGTCTCCTGACTCTAGCCATGGTCTGTTAGAGGGGAGGGAGCAAATCCTGGGGCTCCCAGCTCTAGGGGACCTGAAGGTCTGTCTCCAAGTTCAAGGTTACTGGATGCTCCTGGGACCCTCCGCCCTTCCTGTCCTAGATGCATCTAAGTCCCCTCCTTGATTGTAAGTCCCCTCGCCCCTGCTCCCTGTTGTAACCGGAGCCTGGGGGAACAGAGAATAGGAAATGGTGGCCGTGGGGGTTGGTCAGACCCTGGAGAGAATTATTTCAGAAAAGAGAGTGGGCGGGAGGCTGGTGAGATGCCAGGTTGGGTGTCAGCAACGCCTGCACAGAAATGAAGTGCTCCTTCGGTTTCCTGACGCACAAGCCCTCCCAGGCCTGGGTCCCCCACATGCCCTGCGCCCCGGGAATCTGCTGGCAGCATCTCATGCCTGAGCGAGCATGGCTGGGCTCACGTCCTCCCCATCTGGACCCACTTCAGTGTTTCCATGGGCCTGGCAGTGGAGGTGATTCAGTGTGGGTTTCCCTGTCCCGCCCTGCTCAGCTGTCTCCTGCCGCCATAGGAAATTGATCATCCTTCCTTCCTTCCTTCATGCTATGTTCACCAAGCTCTCCCCTACACACTGTCTTTGGGTCCTCACTGCAGTCCCGGTGACATGCCTCTGTCACCCCTAACAGATGGAAAACTGAGGCCCGGATGAGGAATACGGGCTCAACTCAACCACCAACAGGCTGACCAGGAGCTGTCTCTTCCTCACTTTGGGCCTCAGTTTCCCACCTGTAAAATCAGGAGGTCTGTTTAGAGCAGAGGCTCAGTCTCTACCTCAGAAGCTCCATGAGGGCAGGGGCCACGCCTGTGTGGCCCAGCACTGCGTCCCCAGCCCCCTCAACTAGCGGGCACTCAGCGTGTTCAGCGAGATGGTCCCACCCCATCAGGTGTTCCCACTCCAAGGTCATTTGTTACCACGAACCATTAACAGGCAGACAAGAGTAAGCGATGGGCTTTTTTTTAACTAAGCATGATAACGTGGCTTTATCTTGCTGCCTTCTCACGTGCCATCTCTGGCAGAGTCAAGGGTGCACTTAAATGTGGTCCAGCTGGAATGACACAGACGGCACAGCCTCCCCTGTGTCTCCATGGCTGTTAGTCTGTGCAGGCCCAGGGGACTCGGATGGACTCTCGTATACCATGGGAAAATATGGCCAGAGGTGTGTGTACATGCTGAGTACCTGTGGGGTCCTGCCTGACTCTGGCAGTTCAGGGGAAAAGGGCCATGAGCTTACCTGGTTTCTGGGCAACCCTGGGCCCCGGGCTGGGGCTGAGGCTTGCTGTCATCACCTGCCGGACCTTCACAGTGTCCCCGTCCCGACTGGTTCTGTTGTCAAGCTGGGAAACCCCTCGTGCCTCCCTGGAGCAGTTGGGTGGCCGGGTTCCCAGGGCTCTGGGAAGCTGTGGTGCCCCTTGGGTGGCTCTGCAGACCTTGTCCCCACTCCTGCTGGCCACTCGGTCTTCCTCCAAGTCTGTGAGCCCCACCTCTCCCTGTAGGCCCTCCTCACCGCTGCTCTCCTCGGCCTCCAAGGCCAGACACCTGTAGCTGCCATCAGGGATCCCAAAGGCGCAGGGGGCAGACCTGCCTTCACTGGGCGCAGGGGGTAGGGGTGGGAGGTGGGGGCCCAGCATGGTTCAGCCTCTCCTCACGGACTCAGAGACGCTGTCGCCCGTGCTGGGGCTGGGGCCAGAGGCGCCTGAGTGATTGTTGGTCTCTGATCTTCTTGGGGCCTTCTCTGGCCTTCCTCAGCCGACTCACAGAGCTGGAAGGGGATCCAATTGCAAGCCTTCCTGGACTGGGGGGATGGTGGACCCCCAAGGCTTCCTTCTTAACCCGTCTCTTGTCTGTGAGGCCTCCCCTTCAAGACGATCTATCTGCAAAGCAAGAAAAGAAACAGTGCATGAGTTGGTTCTCTGGGTGTTACAGGCTGAATTTCTGAGTCCACTTTAGGGGGACCCTGAGAACTGACTGGGATTTGGGTCTCACGTGTCTGCAGGAAAGTCCCAAGCTTTAGTCATTCGACATCCCCAATTTCTGCTATATCCTTATGCCACCTGACACTTTATTTGCTTATTATTGTCCCATAAATCAACTTTAAATAACTTCTATTATTTTAGACTTATCTTAAGCAATAATTGCAGAAAACCACAAGTATGTTGTGCTAAGTCATTTCCCCCCTTTAATACGCATTAAATAAATATCTAGTTATTTAAAAATATTTATTTGGGCACCTCCTAGAAAAAATTCTCTCATATGGCCCAAAGGTACATGTGCCACAGGAATCACAGGAATGCTGGTGCAGAGGGTACAGACTAGGGGCACAACCCCCTGAGGAGGTTCTGAACCAAGGGAGGTGGTGCAGTGATTTGCCCAGGCTTTGAGCTAGAATCCCATCTGTGTGGTGGGCAACAAGTCATGTGACCTTGTGACCCTCCGCATCCTCATCTGTAAAACAGGAACTGTAATATTTTCATCTCAGTGTTGCAATGAGGATTAAGTGAGAAAATGTGTTGCAGAGGGTTTAAGACAGTTTCAGAGTCATAACTTAATACATATCAACTATTCTTTTCATTCCACACACACAAAAATTTGAGCTCCTATTTACATTTCAGACACCATAAAAAGTCTTGGAGATCCAATGGGGATAAAGAAGATATGGTACTCTGACTCATGAAGCTGTGGATGGGGGAGCTGTGGATGACAACAGGGCCAATAATAATAACAGTATGATCATTTAGAAATGTTAAAAATGAGAATAATCCAGGAGAGAGGGGATGGAGGCTTCCTATAGGGATGCAAGGAGGAGATGGATGGGAGAGAAACTTGGGCGGAAGAATTGGCTGGGCTGGGAGGCAGATGGAGAGTAGGTGTGGAGGAAGAGGGAGGAGGCTAGGATGCAGCCCAGTTCGTCACTCTGGTGACAGCGTGATTTCGTTAATAGAGATCAGGAATAAATGGGAAGGAGCAGGTGTTCAGGGGAGCAGGGAAATGAATTCAGTTTGGGATTTCCGGGGGAGATGCACACCGTCAGCTCCACACAGAGGCCTGAAGAGCAGGGGAGAGTTCCAGTTTGGAGACAAGAATTTGAAAATCACTTGTGGAGGCTTGTAGATAAGAATGTGAAAATCACTTGTGGAGGTCCTGGGCAGGGGTGGGCCGGATGGCCCAGGAAAGGCAGGTAGAGCTTACAGAAGGGTCGATGACCAGTTGCATTGGGAGGAAACCTTGAAGTTTACAGATATTGGCTACCAGATCTCATATTCCACCACTGCTTAGCTGTGTGAACTTGGGAGAACCTGAACTCTCTACAACTCTCTTATCCTACTGCAAAACAGGGAGGGGAGAATCTTTGCAGTCCCATGGATGGTAAGAATCCTGAGCATCGTGAAAGACTGTGGACACTGGCAACCTCAGAGCCTGGGCTGACCTCTGCTGCTGCGGTACCTAGAGGCCACACCTTGGTCCACCGGCAGGGCCAGGCATCCCCCACCTCAGCAGGCTGGGTCAAGGCCTTGGCTTCTGACTGGAGCTGTGCTGGCAGAGTGTGGTAGACCAGAGGAAAGATAAGCATGTTCCCAGGTGCCCACGGCACATCAGTGCCAACCAGGGGGAGCCAACAGTCACCTCGGTCAGAAAGATAAGAGACACCTGTTACAGCAGCCTCAGTGGCAGGGAAATCAGTGCAGAGGAGCCAACCTTCTGCTCGGAGGAGAATGGGCACTCACGATATTAAACACCTATCCTATCCCACACAGGGTTATTCACTTAGGTTATCGAAAGAGATCCTCAGAACAACCCTGTGAGGGAGGTACTATTTTTATTATCCCATTTCAGAGGTGAGGAAATTGAGGATCAGAGAGGCCAAGTGACTTCCAGCCTAAGTCACACAGCTAGCAACCGGTAAGGCTAATCTCTGAACCTAGATCTGGCACCTTGACCGTGATGGACCCAGAGAATAGAGGCTCCAGAGTCTCATTTGTCTCAAATTCCTTCTCACTCACCAGCTGCTGCCAGATTTATGCCACTACAGTTTCAAAGAATCTAGAATCTCATGCAGGGCCAGGAGAATTCTGAGACCTAACTGGCTGTGTGACCTTGGGCAGGTGCTTTCTACCCTCTGGAGTCATTTTGCCCAAAGGCACCATGGCGGGCTTCAGCCAGATGATGCTGGAGAGTCCATCCGACCCCGGCATTGTGGGATGCCGTGATTCTAAGCCTTGAGCTCTCCCCACCACCACTGCCACCGCCCCACCAGAGAGAGAGCCAGATGGCAGGAGGCAGGAGTAGGTGTGGAGCGGGGGGCAGGGCTCCCTCTGACGCCCCCCAGGGCCTCGCCTCACTTTATGCCTGCTTCTGTTTTGCTCTATTTGACGGTGGCCACGGTTTCCAGGAAAGAAAAGAGAGGCGGAAAAGTTAACTTTCCGCCACCCACACAAATATTTTTGGCCAGCGTTGTCTTCACACTGCCAAGATGGGAGGGAGGAGTTGGCAGGAGCACTCCAATTCAAGTCTCCCTCCTAAGGAGGGAAGACTCCCAACCCAGCTGGGGGGTCTGGGCAGGCCCCATGTGGGCCCAAGCCCTGGAACACCCACCCTACTTGGGAGCCTGGGGCCGGGGCAGGGTGTCAGGACCCAGAACAATAATTGCAGCCACCACGTACTGAATATCTGCTGGTGCTCGGCCAGGGCTTTGACCTGACGCTCCTGTGGGTCAGCCGCGCGAGTGCTATCTACAGAGGGGGAAACTGAGGCACGTAGAAGTACCTTCAGCATCCAGAGTCACAGGGAGGTGAGTGGCGGAGCTGCTGGGCACCCGTGCTGTTACTCATATATCAGACTCGTTCGCAACACCCCACAGGGCCCCTGGGGCTGCGCTCAGACTGAGCACACCATCGGTGCGGGCTCCACCACCACAGGAGTGAGCCCGCTCCCGTCTCAGCAGACACGAGAGGAGGTCCTCTAATATCAGCTTCCCTAAAAGCCACAGCCCTGCTCTGGCCGCAGGCCGAGGTTCTAGGCCATCCAGCCTTAGCACAGAGCTGACAGTCCTGCACACCCACAGTGCTCACCTCAGAGAGAGGGGCTCTGAGGAGCCCAGAACAGGGAAGGGATCACCCAGGTTGTAGAGAAAGGTAGATGCAGGCCTGGTGCTAGAGCCCAGGTGTCAAGTCACCTGCTTCCAGCCCCTCACATAACCCCTGCTGCCTCCTGAGTGGTCCTGTCCTCCCTCCCCTGACCTCCCGTGAGTGCAAGCAGGGCCCCCAGGACTGGAAGCCTAGCCGAGCATCAGATCGCTACAGCCCTTGTCCGAGGCTGTAGAGAGTCTGCTGTTGGGATCCCCACGGGCTCCTTTTGTGGCTGGCACCTGCCGTGAGTGGGCCCAGGGAACATGGCCTTGGAGCCTCAAGTCCCTTCTGCTGTTCTGGCACTGGCTTTGGAATCAGATCTGGGTTTGAATTCTGTCTCCTCCATTCGTTGGCTGCCCGACTCTTTGTGAGCTTTGGTTTCCCCCTCTGAAAAACAGATTAAAACACGGCCCGCATCCCAGGGTTGTTGGGGGAAATACAGGCTCCTCCTTCACTCGGCAGTGGATGAGGGACCAAGGCTGTGTGCTGCTCACCTGTGGGGCTCCAGGGATGCTTGGCTCACAGGCTGGGTGAATGGAAAGCCCAGTCTGGCCCCTCTGACTCTCCATCATCTGCAGGGCCCCCAGCCTGCTTTTGCAGCTGCAGAGGAAGTAAACGGAATGAGGGGATGCAGAGGGTCAGGGCTTAAGTGGATGCACTGTAGGCTCAGGCCTGGGGTTCTACTTTTGATTTTCCCTCTGACTTACTGAGTCAATGCTGGGGAAATCACAGGATCTGGTTTTGTAAGGAAGAGACTAGAGGAGGCAGAAAGGGGAGAAGGAGTCTAGGAAGATTAAACTCTTATTCCTCTGAAAGACTTCATCCTTGGCCTCCCCATCTGCAAACTCTCCCTGTCTCCATCCATCCTCTGTAGGATCTGGTCCATTCTTCTAAAGCACATCTCTGAGTGTGCTGCTTACACGCTCAGGAACCTTCCGTGGCTCCTCATTGATCATGGGATAAAGAAAAGTTGCAAACAAAGGGAAATGCAGATTCAAAGGCAGGTCTCATGATTCTTGACTGAGGGGAAGAAAGGAGGGCTTCCTGGGGATGAAGGATGATGCTTTAGTTGAATTTGATGGACTTTGGCGGGAAGTGCTTGGCATTGTGATGAATGGAGAGTACCGTCCATCAAGACCCAGAGAAGGCCAGAAAGCAGGACCATTTGAGGATGAACCTGGAGAACCACAAGGGCCTGGATAGGTAGAGGCTAAGGCATGTGTGGCAGGGCCAAGGGAGGTGAGAGAACATGGTCAAACTGTGACAGACTTCAGTTGTCTGGACTCTTTCCTGCTGTCTTGAGAGGTGACGGAGAGGGTAGCCCTGTCGGGCTGGGGGAGCCAGTGCGAGGCCCTGTTCTGGGGGCGGAACTGGAGGCAGCAAGGCCAGAGCAGAAGGTGGAGGCTGGAACTAGAGCTGGCATGCAGGCATCCCTGTGAGAGCAGCATCTTGGAAGAACTTCCTCCGCACCTGGCATAGGGCCAGGCACATAATAACAATGACAA